CTTAGCTTTTCTACCTAGCGGTCGTTTAGCGACTGGTCACCGGCGACCGGTTGACAGTGTGAAACGGGCCTTAGTTCACTAATACATTTTCATTCAAGAGAAGAAAGCAAGGCTTGTGAAAATCTGGTTGATTATATGCTCTATTGTATTGTAAAATATGGCTGTTGATTATTGATTTAATTTATTAAAGGAATATCCATGTTTTTAAAGTCCCATGGTGTACCAGCTCCTAATTGTGACCTACCAGACCAAGAAGAGGGCATAAAAACATGACACATTGAGTTGTGAAATTCACAGATAGCAAAGTTTGAAGTGGTACAGCAGCACATGCTGCAGCAATGTGTTGTTCCATTCTTTGTGCTGTGATTGGTGGTTCTAGATAAACTTTGCCCTGTTGTTCCACAAAGAAAGAAAAATAATGGTTAAATCTGGCGAATATGGTGGCCACTCCACAGTTCCACCATATCTGATCCAGTGATCAGGACTCTGTTCATGAAGCATTCATCTCACTATGTGTGCATAATGTGCAGGACAACCACATTGTCAGACAACGGCTGTAAATATTCCAGGAGGATATGCAAATTTTCTGATGAGAAAGCATTTCGTTATTGCAGCATGTGCTGCTTTGGCATTTCATATTTTGCTATCTGTGAATTCGGTCTTAATTCAACGTGTCTGAAGGTGAATTGATGCCAGTGGTTATGATTTTGAACAGTTGTTACTGTAACGTTTGTATGAACATTGTAATTTTCAGTGTAAATACATATTAATGCATTTGTCTGTCATACTTCAATGACATCTCATTCTCTGAAGATTGCTGTCTTCTGGGTTCTTGCGCCGTGTAGTGTGGTAGATTTCCACCAACGTTTCATAGGTCATACTGCCTCCATCATCACCCTGACTACATGACACAAGAACCCAGAAGACTGCAATCTTCAGACTCACCGTTGTGAAAACCTCAAATTCTACATCTCATTCTCCGTTCATCAGAAGTGAATGTGTTGTGTGACCTTGTCTGGCTATAATTCTGGCCTAAGAAATTAAAAATGTCCCATTTAAAAACAAAGTAAAGTTGATAACATTATAACATCGAATCCATAATTAATATTTTGCTGTTTATTGTATACCCTATTACACTGTATTTACATTTTATTTGTTGTCATTTTTTCTGTTTATTCCCCTCGTATGTTGAAATGAGAAAAATATATGAGGTTGTGAAGTTAGATGGGACACCCAGTATAACTGGAGAGAGTGAATGAGTGTGTGTGTGTGTGCGCGTGCGCACATGCATATCTTACTGAATTTATAAGGCTTACATATTATAAAGAATTGAGTATTTTGATGTGTCAATGGTGTTCAAACTGTTCGATTCAGTTATGATATTTTGTGCTACTTCTAAAATTTGTAGGTGCTCTGTCCTGGTCTGCTGTTCTCATTTGTAAAAATGAACTATGTCTACACAAAGAATAAATTAAAAGCTTTGAGTTTGGAGGAGAAACTCAGTATAATTTTCCCTTTAAAAATTCTCCCTTCTTAAGATGTTTTTAATGGTTCCTTCCTTGAAAACTGTAACTCCTACTACTACTACTACTGTATATACTTATTTATTTATCTTTTATTCAGCCCTGGTCCACCGATGCAGGGTAATCCAAATAACTACAGTGGAGGAGTAACAGTGTCTGCTGTTCCTAGCATGGTAAAAAATGATCCGACGTCTACTTCAAGCAATGTGTGTAAGGTAAATCTGAATTGCATATTTGTAACCTCCTTTATATGTAAGATTTTGTGAAGGAGGTATGAGTTCCTTTGAGAAGAGAGGATAATGTGTAGCCACAGAAACTAAATAATAGAAAGCATAAGAAAATAATGTTTATTCAGTGATCAAATTTGCAACAGGTTTATTTAATGTAGAAGTAGAAAATATTGTATTAAAGACTTTAAAGTTGTATTTGAATGATGACATGCATAATTGTGATAATGCTTAGATTGCTGATTTTGAAATTCTGATTTCTGTTTATAGTTCTTAGAACAATGTTAGACCATTATATTATATTGTAATGAAACAGGGTTTTTAAATTATCTTGAGTTTAGGTCCCATGCCATTTTTTCCACAGCAGAGCAGGAGAAGCTGTTTATTTGCTGCATATTTTCCCCCAAATGTCTGACATTTTCTTCACTTGAATTGACTTTTCAAGCCTATATGTACAAGAGCAGTTTATAATTATGTAGTGTCGTGGTTAGAGAATTGATTTTTATACAGATTACTTTTAACATTCTTTTGGTTAAAGTTAGATTTAATTGTCAGTGTATGTTGCTCAACATACACGCTGAAGAGTTGTTTATGAATATTCTACAGATTTTAATGTTTAAAAGCAAGGAAACATGGAATCCCTGTTGATAAACTGAGTAAAGGTAATGAATGATTAATCTATATTAGCTGTTGCCCTGGTAGCAGAACCCAAACTTTTTATGTCAACACCAAAATCTACCTTTTACATGATCTTCAGCTAGTTCCATCTTGGAAACAGGGCTGTGGAGTCTGAGTCAGAAGCAATTTTAGGTGGAGTCGGTAAAAATGTACCGACTCCGACCTCGATATAAAATCTTAAGAACAATTTCTATACCATGTGAGCTGCTGGCGGCCTCATGCTTAGGGAGATTCAACGACGCATTGAGCCACATGGTGTGGAAATAGTGCTTTGTAACTTTGGCTTCAGTACTTTAAGAATACAAACTGTCTACAAATCAACTGATTTCTGCAATAACCATTAGTCATATATTTAAATATAGGTTTAAGTCTAAAAAGTAGGCTGATGATTGAAATGGTGGTGAAATTTCTTATGGTGCCATTTACCATTTTAGTAGGAATCAGAGATTTCAGTACCAACTCCACAGCCCTGGTTGGAAATAATGCCATTAATTTTTGTGTGTGTGCATCCGTGCACAGCATGGGGGGGGGGGGGGGGGTGAGAGAGAACTTGAAAACAACAGTGCATGGAGCCTTGTATTTATTAGTATGTTGTGTGAATGTATTATACAAAGAACAAATTTAAATGTGATTTCATGTTAGTGTTTTAAATGCTTACTGATGCAAAACAGGGAAGGTTGAGAACACACTGGATTGAACCCAGCACCTCCACATTACAAGTCGATTCTCTTGTCCCTTCAGATACCAAGTGTCATTAGTCAAGTTTACCATGCCAAAAGGAAAACGAGAGTTTATTTCAGAAACTAAGGCATATTGAATGATTGGGCAAGACAAGTATCTCTTATCAAATCCATGTCCCAGGTCTGATCTCTTCTTGTTAGCTGCATGCCCCATTCATGATAGTCTCCGAGATTTACTAACCTAATATTTTTAAGAGACATGTATTAGTTATGAAGTTATTTAAGCCATAGTTAACATTTGGTTTCATAGGAAGTAGTTTTGGAGAAGTTTTGAGGTTATGTTCCCAGTTCAGAATTATTTTAAGGAACTATTAAACACATTAAAATGTATATTAAAAAATTACAGTCACTCACAATTATAATAATAAAATAATATTAAAAGGTTTAAAATATCATTTTAATACACTACTAGTTTCGGCTGCATTCAGCCATCGACGGGTGTATGCATTATAAACCTATCACCATTTTACTGATTTTTAACGTTATTCATATTTTCACTGTCTTCATTCTTGATGGTATTCATGTTCTTTATCGTTTCTTGTTTTGTTGCACTATCATTAGTCCTTACTAGGTTTATATTTTGTATTTTGTGTTGGCATCATTTTGTGACCAAGAAGCAATATCCCACTCGTAGTATGTGAACGGAGAATCTATATAGGTTTATTATTTTATTATTATAATTGTGAGTGACTGTAATTTTTTAATATACATTTTAATATACGGATCACAATATGACACAATTACAATATTTTATTAAACACATTGTTAAATACAAAAGAAAAATATGCTTTGTGTAGGCAACAAAATAAATGCATGTTCCTGAAGAAATTTATAGAATAATTACAAATTACTGAGATTCAGTGTGCTAGCCATCACAGTGGCTGTGTGGTCTAAGGCGTAGGCCTTGTACTGCTTGGTCATTGTGACCGTGGGTTCAAATCCCACTCAAGGAATCGATGTCTTCCACGTCCTTCTATGTTGTGCTGTCCTGTGTACAGGTAGAAGCCTTGTGATGAGCTGATCACTTGACCAAGGAGTCCTCCCAACTGTCTAAATAGATGAAGCAAACCTCCAAAGAGAAAGGAAAAAAGCAGACCCTGCCAAAGCGGGGCAAATACTAAAGAGAAAAAAAACATTTACTCCAAAGTTATTTTGTGTGTATAGCTGAAACGGAAGATTATAAAAGCAACGTTTTGTTTCATAAATACATTAGTGCTTTTATAAACATCAGTTCTCTGCCTACGATATTTTACTAGGTTCTGAAAGTGTATTTTCCCTGATGTGCAGCTGATTGCCCCGCAGGTGAAACCCCAGCAGCAAGCTGTTATGTCCTCTGGTCCATCACCTATTGGGCATCCTGGGCCACTTTCACCACCTCCCTTCAACTCATCTAGTGCACAGCCTGGACATATCAACTATCAGGTTAGTATGGAACAGCTTACATTTGGTGACAGGATAATATAACCTTTAAAGTACCAAGCTTTTAAATTCTATATCCCATGCTGACCAAATTTAAATCCCACAGTTATGCTATGCTGAATGTGTTTTGATAAAACATTGTATCTTCATTAAAACCCACACACAACAATGACATAAAATATGCATTATATATAAAAATTTACTGTCAGTTGGAATTGTTTCTCAAGCTGTTGATCTGCTCTCTCTCTCTTTTTTAAATTAATATTAATATTACATGCATTTACATTTTCTGCTTTCATTAGAATCATATTTTGAAATGTATTGTAAATTATAAATGTATGCATCGTGTAAACATTTATTTTCCCTCAGACAACTGCAGAATCCCTTGTTCCTTCTATAAAGTTTGTCATAAAAAAATTTGAGTAACTTGCTCAGCAGATGTGTTCTGTCAACATCAATCTCCTTTATGAATTATGGTAGTGCCTCTTTGCAGCCAGTTTGGAAAATAATTTGTTGCATCATGTGGAAGCTCATTCATACATAAAGTTATTGATACATAGATATATCTGACATCAGCTGTTCTTAGCATGTTATCATTACTAACCTTATGAAAATATTTTGTATGTTATTAGGTAGCCCAACTTTTCTGTGGTTTTAATGTGCTTTTGTTTGTTCACAGCCAACAGCAGCACAGTTCAGCAGCATTTCTGCCATTCCATCACCACCTACAGTATTGTATAACTCTTCACAACAGATTCCAACCCAGGGTGGACTGTATGGTGCATTCCAGATTGATGGCACACAGGTATACATCTTTTTTTATTTATATATATGTACTAATGGTTGGTGACCTTTCTGGAGTGTGTGTGCAACTAGGAAGGATAGTAGAATATTTCAATTTAAAAAGGGTACTGTGTGTTATATATTTAAAGGGTTCTTATGATGGTGTTCTGAGTAAGCTTAACTTATTTTGGACATTGTTTATCAGTTTGGTTATTTGTTAAAAGCACACAACATTTCAGAGACTGGATCTGCCAGGTGAAGGTAGGAGAGAAGGGTGTCTACTCTGATGGATCCGTTAGAAATTCCTAGTCTCCGTCACTGAACACTCGTAATGTCAAATATAATTTGTGGGGGAAGTGAGTAAGTAATTAGGATTTTACGTTGTTGGATGTTAAAATAATGCCATGGTTGACCAAACTTGGTTTGTCTTTGCAGGTTCTTAGTGGGCAAGCCAGGTCACAATTTTCGCAGTTCCCCCCATATTCCCTGTCACAAGGACTTGGGCAGACATCTGCTTTTAATCAACAGTCATTGTACTTGCAAACAGCTCCTCATCCTCCACCCAGTGCTGCACCAGACATGTATCCATCAACAATCTCTCAGTTCCGCATTCAGGTAAGAGTTTTATTAGTTTCTTATTGTTGTTGGCAGCATACCTTGCTGTGTTAACATTTATCAGTCTAGTGCCACATTGCAATGGTATGCTAACAGTTTAACTGGCCAGTCATTGTACACAATGCCATTTTATTTTGAGCCAACCTGTAGCAGCTGTGACTTGGGAATTGTAGTCATGGCTGTACACAGACATGTGTACTCTCCTACTGTGAGTTATGAGCCTGCATCCTGTGTGGTGTATTATTGGTATGATTGAAATATGTTCCAGTGCATCCTTTCTGCATTATCATTCTGTCGTTGCCCTGTTCCAGTTTTCCACGACCTTTTACCACCTGTAGCACACCAGACGCAGGACAGGCACACCAGAAAATTTCACTTTGTGAAAAGGTGTATGAAACCATACATGGCCATAAATATGTATCTACGTATCAGTTCTTATGTGTGTATTTATTGAATTCTAATTACAGAACATAATATATTGCATTTTTCTAACTATGATATGCAAGTATACGATTTCATATAAAAATTTGTGGCACACTGGTTTCCACAACCATCTTCACACTCACTAAAGGTTGTGGTCAGGTCTTCAAATATCTGTTTCTAAAGGTATTAGGAGGATGATTAAATGTTATGTTACGTGTTTGTACGTAAGGGTTGGAATTCAAACACAGATTGTTGTAATCTGTTAAAATAATTGATAAATATATGTTCAGTTTATAATTTGGTGTAGGGATGGGTGTGTGTGTTCTATTGGTTGGGAAGCCTGAGGGGAAGAGACCACTCAGGAGACCTAGATGTAGATGGGAGGATAATCTCAGGCAGGATCTATGGGAGATATGAGTTGAAGGAGGCCCAGGATAGGGTCCGGTGGAGGGCTTTGGTTAATTTGGTGATGAACCTTAGGGTTTGGTAAGCCATCTAGTTTGTTGGTTAGAAGTGGAGGATATTGCTTGTTTATGAGTCTGCCAGTGATATTTATCCATAAAAGTTTTAATTACAGACTCATATCTCTGCTAACTAGTCAAATGACATAATACTCAATAAGAGAAACATGTGTTTTCAGCTGTCCTTGCTGTAACATGCATTAAAATGTAGAGTATTAGGTGCTGGTACCTGCTCTGTAATGACACATTTCAGTCATATTTTGTCAACAGTGGAGAAATATTATTTTTGGACAGTAGTAGTGAGCAAGACATGCACAGAGCATGTCACACTAACCTCCCTCTTTAAGAAACCAAGCTAAATGATGCTAACAGTAAATTCTTTAATGCAGACATGCTTTTTCCTAGATCAGAGAGGCTCAGAGCATGAGTAAAGTGGTAGGTTTATGGACGACCAGCTATAAATATTGTCTGGGCTACACTGCAAATACATTTAGTGCAAAAATTGTGGACCTAGTGGTGGATAGTTAGGAATCAGCTATTTTGATGAAGGTGCCAGAAGGAATCTCTTATAAGGATGGCTGTCATCTGGGTTGTTGCACCATGTAGTCTGGTATCGGAGGCAAGAACTTCTAAAACATTGGTAAACTTCTACCAGACTTCACAGCACAACAACCCAGAAGACAGCCGTCTTTGGACTCAACACTATGAAAACAGCAAATGGCTTAAAAATCTGTACAGTTCGTAAATTTTGTATTAATTTACAAGAACAGATGTTAGTTCCTTTAAGTCTTTCCAGGAGAACACATTTTAACTTGAGTTTGAAAGCTTTTAAATAATGTTACCGATTTACATTGAGAACCATAAAATAATTTAAGTAATTTATCTGTGTCTTTGTACAGGCTCCTCAAGGACCATTTGGCCAATCACAGCAACTGAGTAACAACCCTAGCACAGTTCTTATTTCTTCCACATCCAATTCCTTGATGTCAGCTAGTGTAAAGCCTTCATCACAGCAGATTGGAGCAATTGGCACCAAAGGTGGTGGTCCATATCAGCAGAGTGCTTTGCCCTCTGCCCCTCAACCTTCTCAGGTATGTGGAAACATTACATTTTTATAGTCACATCAGGTGATTTCCAAGTCATTTTATGTGTGTCTTTGTGTTAAAACATTGTTTCCAGTTACAATGTTTCATGCAGATGCCAAGTTGATCATCTTGGTTCCATTATTCTTAAGACACAAACATGCAAACTGTTTTTTCCACATGTTGGTCTGTATACATTTTCCTTTCCCACCGTATCATTTATGTTGCCTGCAACTATTTTAATACCCATCCTTGGACAGTCATTCATAAATTCTATCTAGATTGTCATAAAAGCTGTTCTCTAACTGATAATCTACACATCCTGGGCAATTTTGCGTCAGTCAATAATCGTTTGTTTTATCCTATTTTCTTATTTATAATAGGACCTGTTCCAAGTGTGTGATCTTGCCATGCCTCCAAGTTGATGTCCCCCAGAGACAGTGTGCCCAGCTATACCCCCAGGCACCTTTATCTTCATCACTGTCTAATTCACTCCTACTGTTACAAATTCTAATGTTTCTTTTAACTAAGAGATTCCTGTAAAACATCCTTTCCCCCCCCCCAAAAAAAAAAAAAAAAAATTAAAAGTCCACTGATGTTTAAATGTATTGTAGCAGTCGTTAATGTTCTTTCAAGTCGACAGTTTTTCATTATTAGACTGGGAAATGAAAACTTTGAAAGACCATTCATCACCATATATATGCATATTTTTGTCTATGTAGCTCTTACATAAAAGTTAACAAGTAACTACTCTGCTAAGTATGCCATTCAGACTAATTTCAGTTGGGATATAGTAATCTGAAACGTATTTCTGACTTACGCACTTACACATTACAGAATCCAAACCAGGGTTTAGCATTTAGAATTAAAGCATGATATGTTGACATCCAGTATTACTAACCTTTGCTGTACTTACTTAAGTAATTCAAATACTAAACATAATACATTAGTTATTTTAGCCAAAGCTCTTGTCTGTGTTCAAAATAGTGAAAATACATGGCCTGCAAGGCATCCATGTCTCTGCATATAAAACACAACAATAAATACACACAGTACAGGGATACTTACATCATAGCAGGGCTTGAAGCCATTATAAAAGTTACATTTTTAGTTAAAGAATAAATGTGGCTGAAGATACATCCTGAAGTGAGGTGGTGGACAAAAACATTTACTATGACCTGCTAGTGTGATATGCTTGTGTCTGACTTACTCTTTGATGGTGTTTTAAATGGTTTTATAACAGTTTGTGATCTACCATCATTTGTACTCCCTTCTGTCAGGAGCAGATGTGGATGAACTAAGACATTTTTATTGCTTGTTATTTTTTTACCTTGAACCCTAGTCAGAACCATCTTGTCATGGATGGTATTCATAAGACTGCTTTGAATTCTTCTTCTGGTCATAAAGATACGCCAGTAAACTTGTGTTTCAGCCTTTGGACAAATAAGACAAACTTTCATCCTTTTCATTATCATCTGTTTGTGTTGGTAAACTGACACATTTTTTCCTCTTCAATTTTGCCTCCTGTATTGATTGTAAAGTTCCCATGGCACCAGTCTGTTTACTGTACAACATGCAGTTCAGGTCATTAAAATCATTGTCCAAGGTCACATTATTTCTGACTCAGAAGAGGAACCATTAGTTCTATAGCTACGGCTAGGCCATTATACTAAATGAGTTTTTTCAATATTTTTTCTTGGGAAAATAGCTGTTACGTTTGTGAAGTTCTTGTAACAGAAGTAATGCTAATTTCATTATTTTCTCTCTCATCAAGACATTCTAGTAATTGACTCTAAATATTCATTATAGATTATGCATGTTACCTGAAAGTTGTTGGGTACTCCACTTTGTTTCTCCGCTTTCATGTGTAATAAAGAGCTCAAAAATATATGCATCTAAATAAGAAATTTGGGAAGTCTTTTCACTAAATGGAAAATGGCCCTCAGCGTATATGTAGCTTTGTCCATGCGCCAGGTTGCATGCCACTGCCATTATTGACATTATCAGAGCTCTGCTTTGTTGATTGATTGTCAAAGTGTTTTCACTCACGTCACTGTCACATTTTACTTTCAGTTGTACATCCAGTATGACCCCGGTCAGGTCTTGAATGTGAATCAGAACTACTTGTCAAGTTCCCAGATGGTACAGCGACCAGGCCCCGTGCAAAGTAATGTAGTGCCTACAATTACGCCATCATCATCATTTTACTCAGGTTCTGCTGGTAAGCCCAAATTATGTTTGGAAAGTTTCCATACAAACGTGCATGGTATGTTTAGGGTGCGGCAGTGGAATGTGATGGTTTTTAGAGTGTAGCTGCAGGTAACGTTATTGAGTGTTGGGGAAGTGTGTGTGGCTACGTGACCGCCAAGGGATGCAGTTTCTTCTGCCAGTGCAGTGAGAGACAGTATGGCTAACTAGTCGGTGGCAGAACGCGTATTTGCGGTAACAGCATTTATTGAATGCAAATCGGTAATCCATGTCCAGAGAAGATATAGGCGTGCATTTAATGTCGTACGGCACGGAAGAATTCCTACCCGTAACATTATTTTGAGGTGGGTGGAAAACTTCAGTAACACCGGCAGTGTTTGTGATTGTTTTGCTGGTAGTGCACGAACAGTCAGCACACCAGAGAATATTGCGAGGGTTAGGGAAGCGGTGCAGCAGAGTCCAACTCACTCTGCTACATTGGACAGGAGTGTTCACCGTATTCTGCATGAGGACCTCAGATTTCATCTCTACAAAATTAAATTTGTGCAGAGTGCACACAGCTTGTGAATCGATGAACTGTTTGCGAGCCATGTTTTCCAGACACATCATTTCCCGATTTAGAGACGCTGCCTAAGTCCCCTGATCTAACGGCTGCCGATTACTTCCTATGGGGATATTTGAAGTCAGTTAACAAACCACGCACCATCATGGAGTTGAAACAATGCATCAGCGAAGAAATTCGAGCAATTGATGCTGCTTTATTGTGACGAGTTATGGGCAATTTTCAGTCTAGATTACAAGAATATATTTGTTGTCATGGGTGCCCCTTGACAAATATTATTATTAAGAAATAAGCAGAGATTAATAAATTGCATTGTACTGCTGTTTCTCAAGTGAAAGTGTTTTATTTTAATTTGGCCTTGAGTTTTCCACAATAGCGCTCTGAAAATTGTCACATTCCACTGCCGCACTCTGTATGTTAACTAACACTCAGTTAGAATGCTGTGGTTCCAGACTATTAGTATCAGAGTCAGCCATTGGATAGAATCTTGGGTCACTGTATGTGTGTGTTGACATTTTACTAACAAGAGAGCCTTTTGCTGGGCTTTTAAATTCTAGTAACCAACCTAGGAGAGACTAACGCACACTTCAGTACTGATGGTGTTTCATACAGTGAAAGACTCTTCAGAATACACCAAATTTTCTTTCACATACCTGTTTGGTGTTTGCCCACCAGCAATCTTCAGTACTTTTCAGTTTGCATATTTTATGCTACAATTTTAAACACCAATGCACAGCCCTATACAGTGAAACCTCGATGCATCGTTTTCGGCGGGGGTGGGAAATAAAAACGATGAATGCGGGAAAGCATTAAAAAATTTAAAAAAACAATGTTTCTCTTTCAAAGTTACTTCTTTTTACCAAAAAAGTCTTTAATGGACAGCTGGTTTGTCGAAACTTTACGTTTTAGACCAAACAGAGCACTTTCCACGTTCAAAATGTTTTCCTCGTCACGTTCACTAATATTATGGGCATAAAAGAACGACTTCACTTTCGCCAATGCAGCGTGTGCTTCGGCAAACCTCGCATCCGGGAAAACGATAGTTCCGGGAACGATGGATAGAGGTTTCACTGTATTACACTCTTCACTGCAGCCACGTATGTGTCCTTTGTGTGGAACAGGTGCAACAGTTCACTCAGAAGGAATCAGTTAGGAGCGCTTTTATGCCGATGCACTGGACTCCAGTAGGAGTCAAAGCTGTGTCATGAAGCATACAATTTTTTACTTGATTCTGTCATTGCTGTTGTAAGCGCTTTTATGCTCCGACGCTCCAGACTCCACTCTAAAGGAATGAGTAGCCAACAATTGCAAAAATATACCCCAAACCAATACATTTTTTTTTTCTCTGCAGCAGCTGGTCTGCAAATGGGATAAAGAGGGCAAAGTACACTCAGTATTTTCAATCAAGTTTCGCATGAGGGCAGATTGGATGTTTCTGTTTGTTTTGGCACTACATGGTGTCGGGAGGGTGAAGCTGTTCATTAGTTGACCATTAATCTGCTATGCTGTTCTGTATGTCATGTCCCATTTGAATAATAATTGGCAGAAACGTTTTAGATTCAGTGACGTCAGGCAGTGGAGAAGTATAAGTAGAATGAGCACTCTAAGCACTGTAACCATCTTTCGATCTACTGTGTGCTCACATACTGTCTATTCCACTAGTAGTCCCATACCTCTTGCAGAGTGCAGTATTTTACTCTGTGGAATTTCCTTATAGTCACTTGGTTCCACAAAGTTTTTACCTTAATTTACAAAATCTCAGCTTGGCTAATACATCATACTTACACAGGATATGTGAGGCTGTTTCTGTTTTGTTAAGACTCCTTCCACAAATATGGCTACTGTTAGTTCAGTTTGAAGAGGTGGCCCTTTAAGTGACAGTGTCTCGTTAAAAGGCCTGTCACTTCTTGTCCTTGGATTCTGGTAAGATGTAGAAAGTTAGCAGTCCTTTTAGCATTGAGTTTGGGGATAAAGCTCTTTGCATGTGTTTGTCCTGGGATGGACTGCGAGTATTTTTCCAGCATAACGAGTCCCTGATGTCTCCCTCAGAGATGCTGCAGGCAAGTTCAGGTCCTATAAATAGGTGCATAGAGTGGTCATGGATCTAATACAAGAGACACAAGGGTACCTCGACAATAGACCACCTCAACTCAATCAACAAGACTTGACATAAGACACAATGAACACTGGTCATTAAGTTTGGTGTGGAGTGCGTTCAGTAAAAAGCAGATAAACATGGTTAAATTTTAGATCTTCAAAATGCAATGTGGGGTTGATCTCTGCTGCGCTGTATACCACAAACAATTGAATTTATGAAGATTATCCAACACTGCTGGGAAAAGTGGGACATAAACAGTGTTTGTTTTTTCTTCTTCTCACATTATGTTCCAGCATTTTGTTATAAACTACTACCAAGATGGGGTTTCAGTTTTGTTGCCCACTAAAGATGTGACAATCTTCGAAGCTGATTGATAAATTTAAGCGCAGCTTATGATTAAACTACTTTTCCTTAGAATGTGTACATAAAGTCAAACCATCAGCACCTGAGTGCAGCACTGTTTATTCAGTTTGTCCATTTAGATATATATGTAGCGGGACAGCACAATTTCTTTCAGTAATGGTTAATGCAATTTATCAGTTTTGGTTTGCGGCATTAGATTCATTTATGTAAGTTCAATTTTTAAGTTTTGATCAGAATTTCTTTGCATTGAAGTCAAGTAATTGAATTTAGTTCTACATAAAGTCAAACCATCAGCACCTGAGTGCAGCACTGTTTATTCAGTTTGTCCATTTAGATATATATGTAGCGGGACAGCACAATTTCTTTCAGTAATGGTTAATGCAATTTATCAGTTTTGGTTTGTGGCATTAGATTCATTTATGTAAGTTCAATTTTTAAGTTTTGATCAGAATTTCTTTGCATTGAAGTCAAGTAATTGAATTTAGTTCTGTTTGACTACAGCAAATGGAGAAGGTGTCTGTTATTCTTCTGTTTTCACTTTTCTTGATTATATCTTCATTACACTGCATGTGCTGTTTTAAAAGCAAAGAAATTAATTTGTGTTACAGCAAACTCATGCCAGAACCCTGTGGTAGTGTCTGATGTCTTGAGGGGTCTAATTCCAGGGACCCAGACAGGTTTCTACCAGCAAACAAATTCGACATTACAAGCCGTGCAGCAGCCAGTACCATCAGCCCAACAGCTTCATCAAACAGGTTCCCCTTATAATCTACAGGGCTATGGCACTCAGTCAGGTGGTGCCACACCTGTTGGTCTCCAGAACTTTGGTTCACAGGTAATAAGGCATTGATGCTGTATTGTAATATATACAGTAGACTCTCTGTTATCCGTGTGCAAATTATCTGTGCATGACAGCATGATTTTTGTTTCCTTCTGTCTGAAAGCACTTGTGTATGAACTGGGCTTTCAACTTATTTTCATACCATCTTGGGGAGGGGGGGCATGTTTACAGAAGGTGTGGTTGAAGACCATATTGTTCCTTTTCTCTCCCCCTCCCCCAACTTTTTATCAGTGGCGGGATGCAGAGGTTTTTACGTGTGGTTATAGTGCTGTTAATTCTGTTGTCTTGTACTGTATGTGTTTATGTGCGCATGTAAGTAATGGTTAACGTTTGTGGAATATCAGTTGTTCAAAAGTGATAGTGGAACCATGGTTCCGGAGAATTTGACGTAAATACGTCTATATGGAAAGGAAGTTTATATATTGGCTTTATTCTAAATATTTACTTTATACATGCTTTACAATTGAGTAAAGTTTGATT